TCATATAAAGATCTTAATTTTAGAAACAATGTAATTTTAATTCTTTTCTACTTAATTACTTTTATAAGTACTTAATGGGTGCGAGGAATTTCTAGATATCCGGTGCCAATGCGCCATTCCTGCCATAACGAATGCAAAGATGTAAGAATTCATAGTATACGTGGCCCCCGGATCGACCATCGACGAGTGTCGACGTTCTCGCGCTGCGTACGGAATAATTCTCGCCAACTTGGCGACGTGACGAATCTACTTTCTTCGAGGACGCGCGCTGACTCAACGATAGAGCGATATAATAGAATTTCCACACTCGTCGATGACTCGCATTCGACACACTTTTAATTTCTGCAAAAATTCCGTCACGCATGGAAAATGTCCGATTCGAAAGAAGTCGCGAGGCAACGCAACATTCGATGCGTATGATTGCATTATTCGGGCACACAATGTGCATATATATTATCATTATAATCATTGCTAATGAAATATAAATATGCTATTTTGATACCGAAAATGCCGCGATATTTTTGATATATATTTTTCTAATTCTCTGATTATAACATTTTGATTTTCTATATCCTCTATTATTTAATTCATCTCTATTCATTATTTAACTCATAATTATCATTCTCGTCAGAATATAATTATCGAACTTTCACCGCGTTAATTCCAGTCTCTCACCCGTCCATCATATTTAAACGCATAATTATAATACGTAACCTATTATAAGTATAAATTTCTAGCTATGCGTTGAACATTTTGTAGTATACCGCGATTCATTATAAGTATAAATTTACTTGCATGGCGCGTACCGTGAATCAACGCATTATGATCGCATTTTCACGCTCGACATCCAATTATTCCCTTGATTAAAAGCGCATTTTCCACCGCTTGTCTGTTGCACTACGATAGAATTAGAAAATAAAAATTGATTCGCTATTCGAATAATGGCAGTGTCCGCGCGTACAAAAGTACTTTGCTCAAAATGAAAAAGAGAACTACCGAACACCGCGCGCCTATACATTAAAATATTTAACGCGCAATAAAATATTTAGTACGTTGAATAATGTGTATCCTATAATAATGTATATCCTATTCCTTGCGTTTTAATTTCAACAAATGGAGTATTATTATAATCTTTTTACATTTTTTATTTTAGATTTGTTAGTGTTATCTAAAATAATGATTAATTAATAATGATGAATAATTATATAGATTAAAAACATTTTGTAACTATATTGAGTATTTTCCTTATTCGCGTTTTAGTTAACAAGTTTAAAAAACAAGGCACAAAAGATAAATTAGTAAGACATTTGTCGAAATTAAAATTCAGAACACAGAAAATATTTGGTATTGTACGTTAAGTATTTCGATGTTAGAGCTCGGTGTTTATGTTTGTTTCCCGGAATCTGTGACGTATGTGCGCTGTTGACTACTTATATACCATCGCACCATCAACCTTGTTATCATTCGTATTCGACATCGCGAGCGCGTAGGTCGTGTAGAGAAACGCTTCGCGCGTATCGTAGTATTATTACTTCCCGAATCACGGCCACAATAGATATTAAAAAATTATTCTGTACAAATAATTATCGGAATACACGATTAATCATTTTCTATGGATAATATTCGTAATAATATCACAGGAACGGCTATCTGTTGAAACGATTTCACGCAATTTATTAACTTTAAGTAGGAATTGAGGCTATAAAAGGTGACAATTATCTCGATAATTATCAATTGTAATATAAATTTTACATCATTTTATACAGCGGTTATAATTCTTTAAACGTGTTTCGCGAAATTTATTCCATTGAGATTCATCATGCGAGAAATTGACAAAAGTACTGAATATTCGAATATTCGAAGTTTCGAATATTTCATTCCACGGATAATTATCTTTGGTTTTATCTCGTACATGTATTCACATAATACGAAATCGTTATAATCTTATAATATAAAATCGTTATAATCTTATGATATGAAATAGGAAAACATTACAAACGTTTTGAAATACGGAATTTTATTCCAACAGAATAAATCGTATTTATATTATCTTTATCCACAGCGTAATATTGATAAATTTCTATAACAAAACTACAAAGGATACGGTATTTTTCAAAAATAAAATTCTGAACATAAGAAAAACAGAAAATATGTATGTAATACGTAAAATATTCAAAAACGCATTGAATATTTTGATGTTGACTGACAACGGTGTTTAATTATTGGTTTTTTTTTTATAATATGTAACGCGAGGTACGCTGTTGCTACGCGCTATGATCTTCTCGCACACAACACACTCGAGCAAAAAAATCACTTTAAAATATTTATCGTTTATTCGTTATTTAAAAATTCCATTTATAGTAGTAATATATTTAATTTATCAAATATCTCTTTTGAGAGTCAACTCAAAAATGACTTTAATAATATTAACTATTTGGAGCGCCGGTTCGAATAATTGAAAGTTGAAATATTTCAATTATTTATTAATAATTAATTAATTAAATAATGTTTAAAGAAATGCAAAGAATAGAATATTATACTTATTATTACGAATAGTAATATTAGCGTTAAACTTTAACTTATAATTTTATGTCGGATTCTGTTGGAAAGTAAATGTATTTATGTTTCAGAGATAAATTTTGCGCATATATTCGTTTCGTAATATGATAAAATGTGTGTCGGGAGTGCCGTTTAAAGTATCGCGCGTCACAAATTTTCGGATATATATGCGAGAAATGTACGCATCGCGACGCGAGTGAGTGCATTGAAGACCACTGAGAGGAGGAGGAGGCTCAGGAAAAGCTCTGGCACCGACGGAGCAACTTTAAAGTAATTAATCATTTACTTATTATCAATTAAATGCAATTAATTCTGTCCTTTGAGCGCATTTAGCATTATTGCGCAATGTGTAACACATATAAAATATTTAAAATATTATATAAATTGAAAATAATATTAAATATTCGTAAATATTAGATATTTTTAACATATTTATTATTATTTTTATTTAAATTTTTAATTAAATTTTTTCAAAAATTCCTTTATTAGATGTTTATTTAAAAAATAAATAAAAATTTCAATGTATGCAATCATTATTTCTCATGTACTAATTATTTTAAACACTATTATAATTTAGATGTATTTTTATATTTTATAGATCAACTTAGTCAACAACTCCGTTGCTGCGCATCACGTTCTGGTGAGTACAGTAATTTGTTTTCATTTTAATATTATTAAGATAATGGATCTAAACATGATGTAAGATATATACTCAAGATTAAAACACTGCAAATTGTATCATGTTAATATAAATTTTTGCGCATTTTCAAAGCAATTTTAAATTGTACATACATTTCTAGTAGAGTAAATTTTTAATTGATTTCCAAATCGAGAAAGACTTTTTACTTTTTGACTTATTCTCATAAATATGAATACAATAGAATATTATAAATTTAAACATACAATAAAATAGACCAATACAATATAATATTACAAATATACAACAATAAACAAAAATAAAAAATACATAATTTTATAGATCCATTATCTTAATATGCATGGGTTAGGACATAGATTAGAGTGTTGATTGATATTTAAACCTGGAAATTTGCACACTACGCGATGCATATACATAGGAAGATTATAAAATAAAATGCAAAGATTTTTATAATGCAATTTTATGTAAACACCATAAAGATGTGAATTTTAGTATGGTATATATTCTTTAATTATATTATATAATTGATTACATTTTTGTTTTTTAATTCATAAAATTCTCTAGTTTATATTGAAATAATTAGTAATATATGAAAAAAAGAAATAAATAAAATCAAGCTATAACATATTGAAGTTTTTAAAATATAAATTACTAAAAAATTTTGTATTCACATTTTTTTATTGCATTCATACGCGCATACTCCATGAATGTCGAATATATTTATATTCCTCTTTCTACTTCTTTAAATAAGATTTACATTTTTATATCTTTCCAGGATTAAATTTTATATAAACTGGTGCAGAAAAGCAATATTCGGAAAAGTCTTTGTTTGTGATCACAAACAAAAATGGATGACAAATATTTTACACAGGTGTAAATTAAAAATGAACAAACTATTGTAAATAATTTATATAACAAAGTGCATTTGCAGCTAACGATTATTATTGCTATGCGCCAATTCTAACCTAATCTTTCCTAATATACTCGTGCATCCGCGGTCTCGATAATGGTCGAGCACGGAAATTCGAAATTCGTGGTCCCATTGATAATGGTCGAGCACGGAATTCGAAACTAGGTGAGAACGATCGACCACGGTCGATCATTAACATATAATAATAGAAAATGACACAAAACGTTAGATGCTTACCTCTGGCACAGTGGTCTCATACGGCGTATTAATGAATTTCGGCGCATTATCATTGATGTCAGAGACCCTCACGATTATTGGGATCATTCTTTTCTTATTAGATGACTTGACTGTACAGCTTAGCTAGAAAACAAAAAAACATTAACATAAACAAAATAAGTATAAAAATTTGACTACATCTGCAGATTTAAGTTAACGCTAAATGCCGTTTAGTAATAAAAAGGAAACTTAATAACAAACATATTATATAATAATTGATATTACTGCGATAAAATAAGATAATAATCAACATATAATTATATCAATTATCAGTAAATCAAATCGAGTGTAATCTTTCGTCAATATCGAAAGTCAATAAATTTTTATATCTGGAACGATAAAACGAGTAAAACTATCATTAGAACATTTATATCTGCGATAATTTTATTAAATCGACCGCGCTCTCGGTATCCTTCGGTTGAAGCAACGCAATAATTAATTAGCTTCGGTCGTCGGATTAATTTATTCCAAGCTCCGTTAATCTCTCCGCGTAGCTAGGTTTCCCTGAATTCGAAGCGCGCCCCGCATTCCTGCAGCAATCGAATTTACCTCTATTTCTATACCGCATTTCTCGATCTCATTAGATATTATCAGTTCATTCTATTCGTATGAACTCTTGAAGTGTTCGATGCGGTGCTCTAGACCTTTCACATTCCTTGTACGATAGTGTCATAAGGCACGGCACATATGCGTCGGCGAATGCGGAACGAATTATCAAAGAGAATATAACACAGCGAACATATTAAAGTCGTATAATTTTTTAGAATAGTCTTCATTTTTCGACGTAAAATTTATAAAAGTAAAATTATATTACCGAATGTAGGGTTTTCAACAATTCTTTCTGCAAGTTTTACGTTTTCTACAATTCTTTGCATCAACAAACTTCCAACTCTTGCTTTGACAATAAATTTGCAGTTTATTGATGATAATGAAAAAAAACACTCTGTTAGCAGGCAACAAGATCCTTTTCCGAGAAGCGGAAGAAGTTTCTTGTGTAGAAAAAGTGATAGCATCATTTTAAGAGCGCAGTAGTTGTGAAATAGTTTAAAAGTTAAAAGGTTTATTTTATGAATAATACAAAAGAATTCACTTGAAAGGAGACGAATACGATTTTTTTTATCTGCAGCGTAAATATCTTCTAACTCAAAAAATATTGACACCCGGATTGTCTTTTTATATTTATAATTAAGTTGAGAGAAATAATGATAGCACAGCTTTTTATTTATTATTACCTCTGTTCCATATTATTTTGTTGTTTATTTATTGTGATATATATCTTCTATTTACTTTTCGCTTAAAAATATTCTGTTTATACACAAAAGTTCCATTTACATTATTTTACGAATCGATTTTTAATCAACGGTGTTCAGAGAACGGGCGAAAGTTTTGAGACCAAAATGAGTAAAGAAATAATTATCGTAAAGTATAATAATCGAGCGGCGTAAATTAAGGCAGAAGATTGAATTTCCGCGTACAGCGAGAGTTTCCGCGATGGCACGCGCTTATTATTGATTATTCACATTTCGACGGCAGTGATTTTCAAGGGAGTAATTTATATCGCGGTAGTCTTTCGGTGATTTTATCGTAGAAAGTGGCTAAATGATTTCATAGTTTGGGTCGCGACGGTAATCGCTCCGTAAACTTTCTCGCGCGGACGACGCTTAGGAAGGAATATAGATTGATAGCCGCGGAGTCGCGCGTGCTGTGAATTATCATCTGAGCGATGGATGCTCTTCCAATTTCTTACGTGTACATTCGAAAGCAATCTCACGTGCGAAACACAAAAAAAAAACGTACGCGATTAGCGCTGTGATAAATGCCGTCGTTTTGTACGCGTATGACGCGCCCACAGATTATTCAAGCCGTGCGTTGTACAAGTGTGGAGAAACGCATTAAGTCCGGACAGTATGAGTGATCTCAATCTTCCAGGACTGGCGTCTTGTAAAATATAGGTGAGCGCTTAGAAATTGCGTTGGCGCGCAAAATGCGCCGATAGTATTCCTATTAAAACAACGCGCGCAACAGTTTCTAATGTTAGCGTCCCCGTTTTCTGAGTCCTTTCGGCTTTAATTTATTGGCAATCCTTTTTCAAAAATTAATTGATATCTCTTACCTGGAAAACCAGATGCGACAGATTTTCATTGTCTCTGTCTAGTGGTTTGAGGAGCTGCAATTTCTTGCCGTTCAATTTAAAAATCGGCGCTTTTACGAGGAAGATTAGTTCCAGCATCGTTTCGTTATAAGGATCGCCGGTCACCGGAAGCTCTTCCGGCACGGTCTTCTGATCGATCCCTGAAAAAGAAAAAGCGACGAATGCGATTACTGTCGTGGCCACCGATCTTTGATATCTAGAGCACACAACCTTCAATAAACTGGAAATGTATGAAATGAGTTTTTCAATCTGATAATATTCACGATTATTTGTTTTCGGTCAAGCGAACAATGATACAATATGACAATGAGAAATTGTTAATCCGTTATGAAACACATATGAAATGCCGTTTCGAAGTTTTATTATTTGTATAATACAATTTCCTCGTGTACACATCAATTCATCTTCATTCTCGTATAATGAATGCCATCTTCGACAGAGCCGATGTCGATCTTAGGTAATATCTCATTAGTGAAAGTTTAATTACAACGTATTGGCTGTTCTATTACTCAAATATCTCCTTCTAACATCCTATTTTCGTCACACTTACACATCAATCTCCGGTATTGTAATTATCTTCCTTTGACTGAACTAATTAAGTTTCCTATCATGCTATTTAATATCATCTCTTGAAATAGAATCGACATCGTCACGCTTTCCAATTCCGTTCCTTGAATTTCATAAATATCAATTCTCTATTTATACTCAATTTTAGCTTAATATGTATTTAGTGCTTTTATCAGGTAATCAACCAAATCTGCGCGGTTTCTTGATAAGTTTATCAACAAAACCATAAGAATTTTGTTAATTATCTAATGTATCTTTCATATTTACATATTTTATACACTCATATACAGTAAATCTCCGTACAACGCGGGGGATACATTGAGAAAAATGTTTGATTCAACAAATCATCTGTTCAATTTTGGACGAAAGAGACAAATTCTGGTAGTTTCAACAGTCTGCTTGGTTACAAGCTCGCCTGTCAAATCTGTCTGTTTCATCCAAAATCAAACAGACAGTTTGTTGAATCGAACAGGACATTTTTCTCAGTGTACGTTCCGTGTTATATAAATCCGTGTTATACGAGTCACATGTATGGATTAATACGGATAGGTTACATATATAGATTACGTATGCATACGAAAACATATTTATAAAAAATGTAAGTTCCAACATTTTCTTCTGAATGTTGGCTGTGCTATTTCATCGCTTGAAAAGCATTTGTTTTATCTCTCTTATTTTTGTTGTTCAAAAGTGTATCTTTTTGCATTTTCAAAGATTTATTCTTGTTACTTTTCCAAGGCGTTATAAATAAAACAAAATCGGAAAAAGATTTCACGCGATAGTTTCCATTCGAATGTGAAAATGTAGGCAAACTTATTTGCCGTGTTATACGAGCCTGTTTTACCGTGTTGTAAGAGCACTGCCACAATTTTTCTATCGTGTTACACGAATCCGTGTTATACGAACCCGCGTTATACGAGAATCCATTGTATTTTATAACTTATATATATATTTTTTTTTTAGATACCTATAATATATGTAGCTGATACTTTTGAAGAACAGTTCAATTTTACAGATATAAATGCAAAAGAAAAAAACGGATAAACATTATAAACTCAATTTACCTTTATATTCTATTTCTACATTGCTATATTCTCTATATTTATATTTATATAAACAAAATATGCTTACCATTTCCTCTGCTTTCCTCCATATCAAGAATGATGTTCGATTGTCCCGACTCCACTTCACATAAACCTGAAATAAAAGAACATGCAAAATTTATAATGATATAATTTTTATTGATATAATTATTATATTTTAATATCGTTGAATTTAATTTTAATCTGTTATTTTAAGCGATTTTATTACATTCGGGAATATTAATTTTTATTCACTTTACGTATTTTATAGGTAAATGATATAATTTTGATATAATTTTAATATAATATTTCTTAATTAGAAAAATATTATATTACGATAGACAAAATTTTATCTTGAATATTGCAAATCAACTTTTAATCTCCAACCGCTGGAGCATTTACTCTTCATACATATTCCAAATTGTTTAAAGATTTTATTCGTAAAGTTCGTGCAACTTTATGATACGCTGTAAAAATCGCACCTGACATGCGACTTTCGTGTTTTATTTATTCTCGGAACCGGCTAGAACGCCCGCGCTCTCTCAGCAGGTGCGAGAAATCCCCTTAACCGGAAACGTGACGCGCAAAACGCTCGCGTTAGGCGGTAAGATTACGGGCATTGCACGTCCTGACGTGTACACCAGCTGTTATGAAAGAGACCGGTCGACGACCGATTTTTCTTGCGTCGCCCTGGCAGTTGGATGAATTAATCGAATTGCACGCTAACGAACACGAGAGTCTAATTACCGATATGCTGCCATTATCAGCGTACACGTGAGTTCATTATGTTACCGATGATTTACCGCGTAACGTGATAGTTCTCCGTTTTAAACGCACCTTCTGACTCAACATCCTTTTCTGATTTGATATTCTTGTAATAGCGGTTAAACAGCTGGAATTTCTTTGGAATAGTTTTGCGTTAATTTTATTTCAAAGCAGAATTATTTCTGAAAATAAATTGTTATTTTCTATAATAAAATAAATATTGTATCATTGTATGCATTGCGCGTTTTCTCCATTTCACACTATTTTGCATCGGTCCGTATTGCTCAGTAAACCTTCTCGAAAACGTAGTGAAAAGTTTTTCCCTCTCTCGAACGGGTCGGACGAAACGATAGAGATTTCACTTATTTATTTTATCGGGGAAAAATACGAACGACAACTGGGTTTTCTCTATCGCATCTCTCCGGCAGCTTCCTTAATAAATCATGACGCGGTTCTCGGTGCTATCGGTGTTCTCGTTTGATGTCGAGGTCGCGTGCGAGATCCTCGGGACAGGAACACAAAAGGTAGGACGACCGCGAAGGAAAGTGCGCGTGCCCGCCGGCTGCGATCTTTCCGCGAAAGGTTAACGTCGTACAGTGCATTAATGGTCCCGAGAGAAGATGCACCTCCCTATTGAAAGAAACTATCCGTACATGGGTACATTGCTACACGACATTTACCTTTCCCGTACGCTTTACCCACTTGGCGCTAAACATCACGTCCGTACAAGACTTTCATTGAACTTCTAAGAAGTGGGACGAGAAAATCTGCTTATTCGTAAAACAAATATCATAATTAACATATTGAATTGCGTATGAAAATTATACCGATACATGAAACTCGTCGAAAGTGATGAAAACATATAAACGATTAATAACACACGAAGGCCAATAATTATTCAAATCGTATTTTCATTGCAGAATCCATATTTATAGTATCAAGTTAATTAGTATTTAATAATTACACTTTTGTGTGAAACTCTTGTCAGCTTTATTTCGCTCCAATTATTTACGTGCAATGTATCACTGCCACTCCGCTATCAATTATAATAAATCAATTTAATTAACCGGGATCTAGAACTCGGATAATCCAATTCGCACGATCCCTTCGCTCAATATCGCACGTTCCGCGCATATCGTCGTCCGTCATATTGCGAAATCGCGCGATTTCCGCGCGAGCATTTGTCATCGTCCGGCCAGCCACGCGCAACATTCCCTGCCGAGCCCTCGTAAAGCTCCTCGCGTAAATCTCCCGGGACAGCGGGCCACTACTGGCGAACCCCGATCATTTCTTCGCATGGAAAGTGGTCGTCGCATTAGAAAGCGCAGAAACGAACGATCCGTCGTGCCGATCGCGACCCATATTTACCATCCGCGCTCCGACAATGCACCCGAATGCCTCGTGTTGTTTTACGAAAGTGCGAAGCTGATCTTTGCTCGATCGTCGAAATACTACCTTCGGCGCAGTTCGTGATCTCGCATGATTTGTCGATGGTGTTCTCTTACGGGCCGATTTTTACGATTCAAGCGATACACGTGAGCTAGACTCGTGATTATTCGAACATCGGCCGAAACTCTTGTAGGTAGTCGCATAAGTCACATGAATGCGTGTAATATCGATTGATAAAAATATCTTAGAATCTGACAGCGTTCCATTAATGGTGTGCGGTTGTAAAGTAGTTTATACGTGTACTACGATCAAAAGCTCCCTTGGTGTCGTGGGAATCGATACTGAGTCACACAGGCGGTGCCTCCGTCGAGAAGTTTTCAACACGAAATCCATTATAGAGAAAATTGTATTCCGCTGTACGCGCGTATCGGAAAAAGTTTCGCACCATCTGGATTTCCACAAAGACCGCACGTGTATCTTCTTACATAAGGAACAATCGGTAGCGTAAACCAAAGCGGAAGTTAATAGCCGCTTCAAATAGAATAATAAAATGACAGTTAGATGAAAAAAATTTCTCATCAAGGCGCGAATATTACACAGCATTACGCAGCATTTTACACAGAATGTGCAAGGAGCTATGGTTGAAAAGAACAGACCTATTATTCGATCGCAGACAGATGTTTTTTTTTTTTCATGCAAAGAAGTGTAGAAAACAGTTTGCTCGTTAATTAGTAAGTGCGTTGTCGAACGCACGTAAAGCACCGTCTCTGGTCCTCGATGAATCACGTTTCTCCGTTTAAACTCTCACCTTAAAATACCGCCAGAACCGCACCTATATCTCGCCGTCTAGGCACACGCGAATTATCGCGTTGGAATGTACGTTTTATCCCCGACCCGCTAAACCATCTATACACCATTCTCTCGCGGTATACACCTCCTCTCTGTCTGTACGTGGCTATTCATTGCGCTCGCCACGGCTTGCGCCGAGCTTATCGATCCCGCGCAGAGTGAATCTCCGTGAAACGTCAAAGACGCATTTATTATTATTTATTATTCGCTTACGAGAGACAAAAAGACGCATTTAGTATTATTCGTTTTGTAAAATTAGAGGACGCGACGCATTTCGTATCGTTCGCTTTACAATCGCAAGACGAACGAAATTAGTTAACCAAAAACGAGAGTTATGTAAAATGTTAATTATATAATGATGGTAAAATCGTCCGTGGAAAAGCGTGGATAACGAACTTTCCTAAAGCGCACTTGTTTCATAGGCAGTGCATAATGCGCAACGATCCGCGGGTCGACGGTAAAAGCCAGAAGAGAACTCACACCTCCGCGCGTGCCGTGGATCCGCATAGACGCGTTTATGCCCGACGACAACGATAAAACACGGCTCAGCTATCAGCCATGACGTAAGTAATTGGCAATCAGCTGAGGTGGATTTACGCGTGTGGGAAGCCACGCGGATCAACCGTGACTTTTACGCGCGAGTCATACTCGTTTTATTTATACTCTCTATTGTCCGCTAAAAAGCCTGGCTTTTTAATTAATATTTTTTTTAGAAGAATTTTTAATGATAGCGTTTAATTATGTTATCAAGATAATTTTAGCAAGAATGGAAAATAAGCAATTAATTACTCACCAACTTTCGAGTGGACATCCTGAAGTTGTAAAAGCACGCACAACAGACACCAGAACCAGCAGGTCGTGATTTTCGCCTAGCGAAAAGAAAATCGCAATTAATAATTTTAATCGAAATATTATTAATATAAATTATAATGCGCATACAGCTGGTCAAATTGTAGTAATTGTGAGACCGCAAAGAGATTCGCGCGTGATCGGTCGCACGTTTGCCGGGATCTATTCGTCGAAGCCATGATATTCATAAGCCAGTTTCTTAACCGCTATTATTCACGGAGATCTTCAGCGGCTTTAAGTAGCTACTTTGCTGAAACATCGTGAAGCACGAGACTTTCCGCAAGGAGCTCGTGCCTGGCTCAGTGTACTTCATCGCATATTGTGATTTGCCTGAGCGCAGATGTGACGACAAATAGTCACTTGTCACTCTTCAAACACGCGGTGTATAATTTGCTAACTTTAAACATATATTTGAAAATTGCTTTTGCAATTAGTCAAATTTGAATTTTTTTTCTTTTTCTTTCACCTTGTTCTCAGCCATGTTTACGTGAATAATTTGAAAAATCAGAATACAAGATTTTAACTTGCTTATTTTTCAAATATATATGATAATTTAGACGTGTCTTCAAAATTAACATACTTATGATTTATGTTTACGCGATGATGCTCGCTGAAGTTTGGCACACGGCACGCGATATGCAAATTCCGAAATTCGGTCGGGGGGGAACCTTGACGGGATGACGCACTAGAACGCGGCCAGGAGCCTGAAACAGGGGCGCATCCTCTCTCGCGTGCGAAGACTCGCCGGGAGAATCCCATGCGGGAGGCAGGATCGATAGCGCGGGCGGCTCTGTGAGGTCTTATGCTAATGCGCCGTCGATGCGCCGCGTATGTAATAAGGCCGTGCTGCCAGCGCGAATAAAATGCCGAACGAAGGGAAACAATGTTATCGGCCTCGCGTGATCTCCGGGCCCACGTCGCGCTCTCGGGCCCCGCCGGCGTTTCTCACCTGAACACGCGCGCGCGCGCGCGGCGGCGGCGGCGGCGGCGGCGGCGGTTCTCATCAGTGCGCGTAAAGTACAATGCCTCCTCTTCTCCATGGTCTGCAAGAGAGACGCGCCGCCCTCGCGTATAAAGATCCGCGCAAACCGGGAACGTTCGTTACGGGAATTGCAAGACAATCGGCCGTGATGCCGCGGTTTCGCGAGGAATAAGCCGCATCTTCCTCCTTATCGGTGATAAATTATTCGAAATATTTTTCACGAAGCACTGCGAGCTGAATATTGATAACAGTCTGGATTTTAAGCTATTCCGATACTTTTCTGTCGAGGCAGTTGTTAGATACCTGGTAACATGACGTAAGAAAGATAGCGCGCGCGTTTATGATTCCGAGCGAACCTAATGGAGAAAAATCGAAAATCGAGATATGGAAGATTGAACAAGGCTCTGCGGTTTCCGCATGGCAGAGACCTCGCGTGTTCCAGCTAGATAGTGTAGTCACCTCGCACTCAAATTAGACTATCGTCTAGAGGGTCGTTCGTGTCTCGCGTTCACAAAAGTCTCCCATGACAACAATCACGCACTCGCCTTTTTAATCTCATGTTAGACCGTTTTTTCCTACGGCTTTCACCTTTATTATAATTTTACAGTTATAATTTTCCTGTAGAAAAAGACGCAAACACAATTACAAGGCGTTATAAATTGGAGCAAATTAAAATTGAAACCCGATGATTAATATGTTCTTGCTAGAAAATATTCAACTTGAGATCGCCAAGAGATTTTTCCGACTAAAAGCGATTTCTGGTTTCTATATAAATACTAGAAAGTACGCACGGTAGCAAGAAAGGCAAATATTTATCGATCCCATATACAAGTGGTTCGTCGCGACGAACCATTCACCAAACTTTTTCTCTCGCGACCACTAAAGTTTCCTTTCGAATTACGTTGCGACGCAACGGCGATCGAGAGCGGCTGCACGATCGACCGTCCCGCGACTCAAAGTGGATGCCGTAATTGATGTAACGAGCAGCAACTCCATTCACCGTACCGGGATAAGTAGAGGTGCGTTCCATTCGCGGCTTACAGCAGACTTCACGGCGAAACCACCCTTCTTTCGATAATTTGGCGCTTTGATCTTGGTTTCGCGAGGGATGCGCCTCTTCTTACGACGCGCGGTAGCTCAACAGTGTTTCGTTGCGCGATAGGCCGCTTTAAAGCGGAAATTCCGCCGGTCTGCTGTATTTCTTGTGAATTAGATAATTAACATCGTGGCGGAAGCCGTAACGCATTGATGGACGAGACAAGATAACCGGGCGCAATTCACTTTCCTATGATTTACCGATGCCTAAGTGGCGTTGAAAATACGTTACGGAGCAGCTCGGGTGCGGGTATCAATTATTGACTACAGTTCCCGAATTTATCGCCGAATAGCTTTTTATCTGATTAGAATTATCTGGCAGAACGATCGATGTGTTACACGTTACGTCATGAGAGCCGTGTTTGAAGTAAATTACTGGAGCGTTGGTGAATTTGCTAAACGTGTTAAATCTACCGTAACTGTGATGAGCGATAATTCCAATTAATATTATGTGCAAAGATAAATTATCCACAGCATATTTAGAAATAATAACACTTCGTGCGATCCGCATACAACACTCGGGATTTAATTTTTTGGAAAAATTTGAAAGAAAATTTGTCCGCGCAGAGTTCTAAAAAGAAAAATTTATTGCGAGAGAGGGACAAATCACTTTCTTCTAGGAAACTAGAAGCGGAACATGTCGATAGCCATTGTGCTTACGTGCCGTTAAATCTAAAGAAGCGAGCGATCTCTTCGAAGCAAGTCGGGTCACGCGAGGAAACGAAGGAAAGTTTCCATCGAGACAAGACTCTTACTCGTGTCTCATTCCGTGCCCCATTTACTTTTCTATCTAAGAGACTTGGGTGTATCGGGCTCTACATCAAGATCGAACTATACTTGACAGACATTAATTTGGATTATGCAGCACATTAATTACGATTCGCGCTCTATAAGTTCTATTGTTTCGATTTCCTTGATGATAATCGCTAAATACAAAGTTTCCATTTAAATACAACGACGTGATCGTAATATCACGTAATTCGATTAAATATACGCCCTATCACGTTTACTATTACTTGTAACATTTCTTTTTTTACACAATAATCAAGAACATTAAATCTTAAATATTTTATGAAGATTATACGAAAATATCTATACTTATGTAAGTTTATATTCGTCGTGCAATGTGAATTTTGTTCTTCTTTCGAAGTATACAATTAATTTTAATTCGCAAATTATCCAATGAAAGTTCATATCAAACTCAATCTTAAGTACAGAAATATAAAAAAGTTAACAACACTGTTTAATAAAAAAATCGACATCTTGATAAAATAATTTTAATTTCACGAAATTTGACTTGATAAAATATTCTAAAATAAACGATTCTTGTTTTATTGTGATCAACATAGTATATGCAAAATTTTACTGGATGGAGAAATGCGTCGATTTCTTTGCAAACAGTGTAAATCATAATGTACATACTTAAAACTATACTTCAATTCTAGAAGGAATAATTTCACTATCTTTACGACTTTAAATTAGCCGTTAAGTAGCGTAAAAAGTACTTGTCAAATGAACATGTGTACATTAATCTAAGGTAATAATGTTCCCGGAAATATGTTGCCCAAGTCAGTGCTACTCGGGAACTGCACACTGACGCTTGCCCGTCGTGTATTTTCCACAACAGCTGAATTACTTCACTTTCCGCTATCAGCCTTATTAATCGCGAAAGTATAGTCGTGTCTCAGTCCGGCGCTATCTAAGTCGGAAGTAAAGCAGTACTCACGGTAGGACGTTGTGAAACACCGGTGGTCGATTCTGAGGTGTCGTGTGTCTTGACGCTGTACGTATGCATAAATGCAGCAACGGTAACATACGACGGGAACGTTAATTTCTAGCTTCGATTGATACGGCACATTACATAAGTCTTGCATAACTATTTAAGTACGCCTTGAGAAAATTATCGAGAAATTTGGTATTATTCCAGTAATTGATTCAAATTGCATTTAAAAATGGAATAAAAAGCACTCATTTTAACGTAAATGTTTTACAGATTCTTGTTTTTCATAGTTTGATTATTACATTAAAATCGTTGGAATGTTGCGAACGGCATTCCTCAGACTTCGTGAAAATCAACGAACTCTCTCCGAACTGTATACCCTTAATAGATTTTCACGAGATTTCTCGATATCTGGTGCAAAGTAGCGCTAAACTAGTTAGTGAGCGGTGACCGCCAATTACGCAGCATTGTGTTGCGCGTCGAGACGATGTAAATGCAATGGGTTGTCCGCTTTACGAGACAGTCATTAGACCGACGGTGCAGTGACCGCACAAAGCTCTGTAACGCAAACGACTTACCGTGCTCTGACTACAGATATTGGCCCTTGTGGCTAACATATCACTCTAACTGGGTGTACAGGATGCATATGTGAGTCTGTTACGCCGTAGTGAGGATGCACCTGTCCCTTCGGCATCGAACGGTCGACCGAGCCTCCGAGCTGTACGATCCTTCTTCCGTTTTGAATATATTTGCCTTAAGCAAGAATTAAGAGTCAAAGGAAGAGGAAGTTACGAAATTAACTGACATTTTTACGCTAACAAAGATTGAAGAAAAGACAAGCTATATATTTTCATTCACTCGCCCCGCGAATTAAAATTAATAATTTCGCTTATCTGTTTTTCTCTTATTGTTAGATTAATCTTCTTCTCGAAAGAGTGTGTAATTTCTTACATAGAAGCCAATTGTTAGCTTGTGAAATATTAATAACATTAGCAAATCAATTAAATTAAAGTATGAATGTCACTTTATTTGATTTTAAATATTATTATTCAAAATTCTCATTTTATTTTATTTTACTTTTTGTACTTT